TGAGCAGACTGAAATCATAATACAGACACATAATCTTGGTCATGCCCACGCTTAGTCGGCATGACGACTAGTCAATGTTATTTAAGGACTTTTATGCAGTTTTTCTCACAATAAGTAATGAGTTGGTCTTGGTATGTAGGCCATGCCTTCAAAAAGGTGTTCACACTTCGAACTCGCCCGTTGGCCTCTTCACAAGCCCGAGCAGGACTTCAAGACACACCCACGATAAATGGATGCACCGCTGTAGAGTGTGATTGAATTGGGGAGAAAAAAGCCGAAAACGATCATTTCTTAAACCACTTCACTCCAATAAATATGACAATATCGAAGCCCATACATATTGAAATGGTACATATTTTTCGCTTATTAGTAGGTTGTGGAGATGAAGGCCTCATAGTTGACTTTTCCCACAGTTATGTGAGTAGAGCTGATGCTTGGATGCAATTTCACACAGCCTTTCTCTCCCAAAAGGTATTCTGATTCAGGCTGGACTGCAGTTTACGAGTAGAACTTTTGGGAATGTACCAAGTCTCTGGTATCTGTTTCGAAGCTGGACATCACGAATAACCAAAAGCAAAGGTCACAGAGCCAGATACGTTCCACAATGTCTCCCGACGCTTCGATTGAATTGCGAAGCTAACGGAGATTACGACCAAACCCAATACCACACCGTCTTGGTCTTCCTAATTACAATCGATTGCATTACTTACTTTTCGTTTATAAGTAGTGTGTCGATATTATTATAAAATCGGTTATATGAGAGGTTACACGGTGCACGGTCTTGATTCGACTCCCGCTGGGGGTTTTGATACGATTTAGGCAAAGTTAAACCTGCAATCCATTCCAGTCGGGAGAAGAACACATTTTATGAAAATGAGGTTATGTGAATTGCACTGGAAACGCCAGCTCTACTCACTTGACGATTCTTGCATCACCTTCAACGAAGTGGGTTGTTAAAATGTCATTTCACCGATTTTCTGGTATTCTCTAAACCCTACTCATAAACGAAAACTAAGAGATGACATTGAACTCGACAAATTAGACAATACAGTCACTATTAAGAGGACATTGTGCAATCGGGCTTATGGCAAATTAGATTTTTAAAAAAAGAATTTGCGGTGATTATTAAACATTTCTGACGTTGAGAATTTTATGTTCACTTTTAATTGCGCTGGGCTTGTTTCTTGCACATGCGTACACATGAAGGCACAATAACACACCTACACGCATGCACACACACACACACACACACACAGAGAAATGAGATTAATCATGCAAATAGATTTATGCCTCAACAACGCTCACCAATTTAGAGTACAGATTCAGCAATCAGAGGTGAGCTTGACTTTCGTCGGAAAGAGGAGCGGAAAGAGACCACGATTGAGCATGTTTGAGGCAGAACGGATGATCCGGCTCCCTCTTCACATTCCATCGTGCAAGTTGACTTTCACGTGAACGAGTGCTTCGACGGCAACTTTGCTTCGCGCCGCCGAACCGACCAGACTCTTCGACGGCACCCGGCCTACTCACGGTTGCTAACGCCGCCTCGGCCTCGGCCTCGTCTCGAACCCTCTGTCAGTCTGAGGACCGAATCCCGCCCGACGAGCAACTCGCCCTTCCTCTCGACCGTCGGTGCACTTCTCGCCAAGCCTCGTCGAGGTCAGGCTCGACCTCGGACGAAAGTGGAAAATGTCACTGGCCGACTTGGACAGTTGGCCTTTTCTCCTTCTCCCATGCACACTCACAAGACGTGGCACCGTCGTCCGCCCACCCCTCTCCCCAATCTAGCCCCGCTTCCCTCAGAATCCACCCGACTGCCCAAGTGCCCTCGGTTGCCAAGTTGAAATGACGCTTTGCTCGTCGGTCTCGGTCTGTCAATCTGTTGGTTGCCGATTTGTCTGTCTGTCCGTCGCTCGGCCTATCCGTCTGTTGATGTGTCGGCTTTTGAGTCTGTCGGTTTCGTTGCTTGTCGACGTGTCAGTCTGTACATCTGCTGGTTGTTGGGGTATCTTTGATTTTGTTCGATTTCCCCTTCAGACCAACCCACTTCTTGTGGTTCATTTTGGTCCACCTGATCAGGCATCTCGCGTTTTGGTTGGATGTCCTGTACTTTGTGGAAATGTTTGTGGAAATGTTTGCTCAAACGTTAAGCTCAATCGACATACAATGTTGCCGCATGTGATTGCATTCTATTGCATGCCTGTTGTGGGCATGTATTTCTCCCACAGGCTCCCAGACAATCGCGCTACCAGTTCCGACGAGTCCAACATACCAATTGCTTCCACTCGAAATCAAATCTACCTCAACATTAGAGGATCCTCGAAACCCGGTTTTTCTACATTCTTGTGGATCGGTTTGTTTGTCCGTTTGTCAGTATTTCAGTCTGTCGATCTTTTCGTAGCCGACTTCTCAGTATGTCGGTCTGTCGTTTGGTTGCTTAGTCAAATTGTCAATTTTGCTGTCAGTCTGTCCAGTTGTCCGTCTATTGGTGTGTCGGTCTGTCTGTCTGTCGGCCTATCCGTTTGTGCGTCTATTCGTCTGTCTGTCAGTCTATCTGTTGGCTGTCGGTTTGTCGGTTTGCTGCTCAGTCGTCTTCTGCAGGCGATGTAACTATGGTGCATTAATTGGAAAACCGATTGAATGAATGCGCAATGACTGTACTCACAAATGCTCCAACCAACTGTCGGAAACCGCAGAAGCATGTGGAGTCTGTATCTTGTGTCTGTACTTTGGTGTACTCTGCCTCGCAACCGCCACCACCACCACCAAATTTTGGTATATTTTTCCTCTTTAACGCCATCCTCCATCTCAGCCCGTACGGCAACTAGTCAGTTGAGCGGACTGCCACCGTCCAGTTGAGACTGTAGCCCAATTGACTGCCATTTCCACACCATCAGGGAGCTTAAGGTGACGATAGACTCACATGAGTAGGCCTCTCGACGAAAGTAAACTTCATTTCCCTTTTGTGCATCAGCAGAGTTTCGAAAACACACTTAAATCAATTATGTGAAATGAATTAACCACATTTCG